CCGCCCCGAGCCGAGATTCCTCCCCCCCACCACCACCACCACGCCGGACTTTTCCTGCTGCTGGCATTTGCCGCTAGCAGCCAAAACAAACACGCCGGGTGTCACGCACATAAATCTCCGCGGTCAGTTAGGGACCTTTCCGCCCGCTCCGCTCAGTCCATCGACCTGTATTTACTCAACGGCTAAGTACGAAGCAAATGTGGAAATATCTCATATTAGTCTTTGCAGGACTTTACAAATCAGTGGAGGGGGAGAGAGGAACAGCAGAACGCGCTCTCCGTTACACACAAGCACTCCATAGATTCAGATGGTAAGAGTCTGGGGGGCCAGGGCCTGTTATCTTGTAACAACAACACGAGAAGTCGCTTATTCCGAAATGGAGCTCGAATGCATCTTGGTCTGCGCATGCGGCAAACCGAAGCCCTATTTATACACGCCAAGGAATTAAGTGAGGAAATATTGAAGTGGTACAATGGACTGCCCCTCAGGTCCCATTAACAGGTGGAGGATCACATTTTGGAGTATCATTTTTTAAAATTATAATTCCTGGAAGCAGAAAATCAGCACAGCAAGCAAAGAGAGGGATGGTGAAGTTGTGTCGCTGCTGTGCTAGTTTTCTATTTGCATAAAGGGATTTTTTTTCCCCTAACAGAAAAGACATCAGACATCCACCACGTGCTGTCTGCAATAACAGGCTCCCTTCCGCCACCTCAAGGTCCTCCTGCCTTCTCTCCCTCCTGAATACGCAAACCAGGCCACAGAGGCAGAGCTGGCAGAATGGAGTGTGCCACTACGGCCTGCCGAAGGGGCGAGAATCACATTCGAACGCTCTTCTACAGGGGGGAAAAATTAGAAAACTAGATTAGCAGAGAGCGGGCTGAGAGAGCGCCTTTATGGCTGACACACCACTATCTGCAGCTGCGGGATTTGTAAAAGGTCAGGGACCGTTCCAAAATGGCGTCCTCTCCCCTGCAGTCTCAAGTGGTACAGTCCACCTCACTCCCTTAGGCCTTCCCGCCCGGGGCGCCCTGGCGGCCGGTCAACCACGTGTCACTTACTTGTGCGTCGGTGAGGCCCAACATGGCCGCTAACTGTTTCCGATCCGGTTTGGTGACGTACTTCTGGATTTCGAAGCGCTTCTCCAGGCCTTTTCTTTGGAGGTTGGAAAAAACCGCCCGGGACCAGGAACGCTTCCGCTTGTAAGTCTGCGGCAGGGTGTCTTTGGTGAGCACCGCGTAGGGACCTGGAAAGGGAGCGAGCGAGAGAGCGCCATTGAGTGCGGGACAGGGGCTGGCCGGCTGGCTGGCAGTCAGTCTAGGAGTCCACCTACGGTTCAGGGCACTCTGGCCGTGGGCCCGACTGAGGAGCCGCGTGCTGAGAATAGCTCCTCCACTGACGCCTTTTGGGAGGCCCGCCTGAGAAGAACCTCGCATGTTTGGCCAAGTGCATTGTGGGGGCTCGCAGTAGATTAATCGGAAATTACACATTCTCTTCCTTTTATTGCAGGTCTTGGGCCTTGCTCCTTTGGAGAGAGAAGCCTATTCAGGGGGCCTGTCCTGCCCCCAGCCTCGCTCCCACCCACAGAGTCCCCCTGAAGGGGAAGCTACTTATTAACCCTTGGCCTTCCACCCTTCTCTTTGCAGTCTGAAATTCTAACGGAATCAACTTCTAAGGAGGAGTCTCCTGAGCAGGGGTGCCATTTAGATTAAGTAAAGGTAAAGGTAAAGGTTCCCTTGCTCGAAAGCCAGTCAAATCCGACTCTAGGGTTGCGGTGCTCATCTCCGTTTCAAAGCCGAAGAGCCAGCGCTGTCCGAAGACGTTTTCGTGGTCATGTGGCCGGCATGACTAAACACCAAGGCGCACGGAACGCTGTTACCTTCCCACCGAAGTGGTCCCTATTTATCTACTTGCAATTTCTTGCTTTCGAACTGCTAGGTTGGCAGGAGCTGGAACTAGAGATAGGAGCTCACCCTGTCTTGCGGCACCCGGGTCTTGAACCGCTGAACTACTAACCTTCCACAGCCTGCAGTTCAGCGTCTTAACCACTTGAGCCACCGCAGCTCCTTTAGATTAAGTACAGAGGGGCAAATAGGGCCCTTCTCCTTTGTGATGGCTTCAGCATACTGGAGTGCCGTTCCACTTTCTAGTGTCTCTACAGGGAAGAGATGGCACCCATGTGGGGGTGCTAAGAGGGTTTGCTTTGACAGTAAGCTCTGATAAAGTGAATGGCACTGGTTTACTGGGAAGTAAGTCCTCTTGAACTCAATTGTTATTCCCAAGTTTAAAAAAATAAAAGCCGAGGGACAGGATGCCTTGAAGACAGGTTTTTTGTAGTAGCCTGAGCTTCTCTGTGGCTCTAGGCCGCCAAAGCCCATGGTCATGGGGGAAACAGTGTGCCAAGACTCCCATTTGGTTTTGCTGAAGGAGATTAAGATGGCTGCCCGCTCTGGACTTCCCTCCCCAGCAAGTGTGCTCAGGCCTGCCAGCCTAGAAGAAAAGATGTGGCCTGGGGAAAGGGAGCCAGGACTGCCCTCCGCATGCCCAGGGCCCAGCTAAAGAGGGGTGGAGGGAGGAAGGTTTGTACCTGGAAAAGTGTCTTGAAACTGGTGCTGCACTGAGCTCCTGGGGGTGGTGTTTAAGGGCCCCAGAACCCCGGAGGCCTCGTTAAGGGGTTCTAGAGAGGCGAAGAACTGGCCGGCCGAAGGCTGCAAGCTAGGGATGTGAACCCCGCTTTGGCGGCTGCTGGCTAACAAGGAGGTCAGATCTGTGGGCACAGGAACAAGGAGAGCGCGGTTATCAGTCAAGAAGGAAGGCGCCACGACAGCCCACCCGACCCCTGGCAGGCCCTGCTGCGGGCAATGGGAGGACGGCTGCGGTTTGATTCACCTCCAGCAAGGCCAGGAGTGGAGAATATGCTGAAAGAAGTCCCATTGAAGTCAGTGGGCTTTACTTCCAAGTAAACTGTGTCTAGGGCCACAGCCTTCAGCTGCCTTCCCTCTGTACACATAAACACCAAGATCGTCAGTCGATTTGTGCCCAGAAGTAAGTCACACGGATTGCAGTGAAGCTTCCAAGACAGATTGCAAACCTCTGCACACCAGCCTGGGGATCCATCCCGCTGCAACTGCTAAGATTTCAGCAGGCCCAGGATCGGCCTGCAAGCAGGGTGCTTCCAAAGCACCGTAGTACTTTGCAGTCTTCCTGCCCTTGACTCCAAGATAACCCCAGAGTAGATGAACAAGGAGGGCTTAACAGCTACATGGAAAGCAGCAGCACCGTAACTGCCTAGAAGTGTTAACAGAGACCTAGTTTGGGCTGTACTCAGTCCCAACCCCAGCTCTTGGGAGGACTGAGCAGATGGACAAAGGAAGGGAGTAGAGGTGATGGGGGAGGGGAGAGTAAAGATTGCAGCCGGATACCATTGAGGAGGAAGGAGGTCTTGTAGGCAGGGTGCTGTTTGTGTTTCCCGGGGATCTCATCTTGAATCAGCATCCAAATTAATGGCAAAAATATTAATTTGACAGATGCATTTGTGCTGTATTCTCGTGCATCTAGCACCCACAGCTCCACCTACTTGAAGTTGTATTTGGCAAGAAAATCCCATTGTGCCCGTGTGTGCCCAGGCAACCCTTGTATACCCATCACATCCCTGCTGAGGTTTATGGCACGAATCTGAACCAATTGGACTCCCGCTCATGATGGCTCCTGCCCGGATAGCTTCCTTAGTCTTTAAGGTGCCACAATGCTCAAGGGAGTTCTTCTAAAGGCGCTCAGAGTTGAGGATCCGAAAGGGTTTCAAACCAAGGTAGGAAATCAAACCAAGGTAGGAAATCAGGTGCTGAACGGGGAGAAGAAATACAACCCTTATGGTGTATTTTTTTTCTTTAAATCCTCCAGGGATTCAGTCATCTTTAAAAAAACTCCGCCCCAATGGAGTAGTCAAACCGAGAAACCTTCTTGGGCTCAATTCATTTTTATTTTTATTTAACTATCAGTGAGATTTTGAGGCTGGCTGCAATGGGATCCAGTGTTCCTCCGGTGCCGGCAGGCAGGCCTGCGCCTCAAGTTGGCAAGGCTTGTCCCTGCTGGGGTTCCTTGCTTCGAAAGTGCCTCTGAGAGGGATTCCGGGGCTCCCAGCCGATCACAAAAAGGACGGCAGGCTGCATTCCTTCGCAGGCTGACTGGTAATTCCCACTGAATTCAGCGGGACTTACTTCCGAGTAAATAGGCACAGGTCGCAAGCTCGGGAATGCGTCGACTGCTTAGCGTTTGGGTTTTAGACCGGCCTTCTCCCAAAGAGCTCCGGGCAGCCGACAGGCTTCCCTCTCCCAAGCGTGTGAAATAAATGACCGGGAAAGAAAAAAAAATGATTTACAGGGAGATTTAGAATTTGAACCCGCGTCTCCCCCGGCTGCTCCGGCACTTTAGCGGCCACACTATACTGCCTGGTCTGGATTGCAGAGCTGGCCCTGACTGCCAGGGGGAAAGCGAGGGGACTGACTTCCAAGTCCCAGAAGAGAAACTGGCCTGGTTTTCTCTCTCCGTCTTTCTGATGCTTTCTCAGGAATCGGCCTGCAGATTGCTCAACTGGTCGGTTCCCTTGAGCAACAACCCTGTAAATAGCTGAGCGTTGGTTCTTCCTCCTCCCACCCCCTCCCCGAGCATCTGCTTTTTTTAAAGTAACGTTTGATCGCGGGTGCCGCTTGTCTTTTGTAAGTGTGATCACCACCCTGGGAGGGGGTGATGGTGGTGGTACCAAGACAGGATCTGGCTAAGGCGAGCCAAATGGCCAAACCCTTCCCTTTTTTCTCTCCCTCCCTCCACCCCGGGGGCAGCCGGCGAGCCTGAAACGTAAATGGGTGAATCGGGCGAGGGACGGGAGCCTGTTGCCGGCGAGCCTTTTGAAAGACCAAAGGCATTCTGTTCCATGTTTCTTGCTACCTAAACATGGACCGGCGCGCACACTCT